CCCCCCACCTCCAATAAAAGGAACGTAGCACAGACTCAAAAAATTTTTCTTTTTTGAGAATTTTAATATTATTTTTTTAGTTTTCAGCGGACACAACATCTTTGTTTTTATGTGGTGCTGACGATCGAACCTGGGCCGAACGCATGCCAGGCGAGTGGGATACCGCTTGAGCCACATCCCCAACCCCCAAAATTCTTAAGAATCCACAGATGTGGATTCCAGTCTTGCTACTTAGTAGCTGGATGAACTTGGGTAAATTATTCTACCTGATCTTCAGGCTCTTTATAATTCAGAAAGCTACCTCATTGGGTTGTTGAGTTTGAGGCACATAGTACAATGCCTGATATATAAGAAAAAGAGATGGCACCATTATCATCAAGAAGTGGGTAGCATGGTGMGAGAGGAAACCAACACATCTGCTTGAACCTTTGTCCCTACTGAGTACTCCTTTAACTAGACTTCTCAATGATCTTCCCCAGAGCCTCATTTTCTTTCTGTGTACCTGCTCGTCTTTTGCCAAAAATTACAAAAATGTCTTGATGTAATAAAGCCATCCTAAAGAAAAAAGTGCCAAGCACAGTGGTGCACAGACAATTCCAGCTACTTAGGAGGCTGAGTCAAGAGGATTACGAGTTCAAAGCCAGCCTCAGCAACTTGGTGTCTAAAAATCAAAAACCAGAAACGTGATGGGATGTAGCTCAGAGGTCTAAATTCAATCTCCAGCACCACACAAAAGAAAAAAAAAAGGAAATCTTTTTTGTATCCTTCCCTCTCCCCTTAGGAAAATATTTAACATATACAACATGCACTGTGGGAAACACTAAAACGCACCTGCTTACTTGAATCCCACAGCTCTATTACATAGGATATGGGCAAAGTTGAGGATCTTCAAAGTCGAGGATCCTGAAGTTTGAATATCTTAGGTAACTTGCCCAACGTCACCACGGATGATCAGGCCAGTAATCAAACTCTTCAAATATTGTAGAAATACTGAGCATCAGAGACTGGATAAGGAAAAGGGGCAGAGTTCAAGAAACTTCCAGAAGTGTTCCAGGCTGGGTCCTGGAAGATGAACAGGCTTTCACCAAGCGGGAAAAAGGAAAGCCTTCCAAACCAAGGAAACAACAAAGACATGGAGGTTCTACCAGCAAACCCCTTCCCTGTTCTTCTTTCCTCTTCTAGGTAGGGGTGGAGAATAAGCATGGACTTGGCCTCCAGAGGCCCTTGGTTCACTCAGCACCCAYGCTCCTCTCTGTTTGGCTAAGCCTCCTCTGCACGCCCATGGGCTTCCCAGCACCTCACTTTTCCAACCCCCTCATCCTTCACCGAAGGGATTGGCTACCGGAAACTGGGGGCGGACGGTGGGCGATGCGGCAAAGGGCGAGCACAGCAGCAAAACTGGCTCCTTTGTCACATCCACGTGAGGTCGCCTACTTTTCTTTCTTTTTTTTTTTTTTTTTTAAGAGAGAGAGAGAGCCCCGAGAGAAATTTTTTAATATTTATTTTTTTTTAGTTTTCGGCGGACACAACATCTTTGTTTGTATGTGGTGTTGAGGATCGAACCCGGGCCGCACGCATGCCAGGCGAGCGCGCTACCGCTTGAGCCACATCCCCAGCCCAGGTCGCCTACTTTTCAAGCGCCCATCCTAGCTAATGGCGGATTCCAGCTCAGGAAAACAGTATTGACCAGCTCCAGAAAGATGCGTGAGGAGGTACCACCACCTCACGCGGACACCACGGCAGCCAATGTCCCACTGCGCCTGCGCGGGTTCTGGCCAGGGGCGTGGCCTGAGCTTGGGAGCTCGGAGGTAGGCCAAGGGCTTGGCCGCCGTTAACCAATAGAAAAGAGAGTCTGCGAGTCACATGCCCATACTCTATCCAATCACACATCCTACTCCGGAATCCTTCCGCCTTGGAATAGAGACTGGAGATTGACAGRGTTGGATGTGCAGGGCCTTGTGAGGTGGAAGGTAAATACTGCCACGTGGGKTTTTTTCCCCCCTTTGTGGCAAAAGTTGAGGCTACACTGTACTTAGTGGAATGGTTATTTAATGAGTTTATGTCGTGTTTTGGGCACTGTGAAGGTACTGTGGCTTCTAAAATGTAATCCTGCCTTCAAATTGCTCATTGTAGTTTATATATTTATTGTTTAGACCATCATAGGCTTTGTATTAGAGTTTCATATATCCTATTTTCCACAAAGAGCGCTCAGCAGATGCTCATTAAAAGATGTTAAAGAGCCGAGCACGGTGGCGCATGCCTGTAATCCTAGGGGCTAGGAGGCTGAGGCAGGAGGATGGCAAATACAGAGCCAGCCCCAACAACTTTGCAAGGCCCAAAAGGGCTGGGGATGTGGCTCAGTGGTTTAGTGCCCCTGAGTTCAATCCCAATCCCTGGTACAAAACAAAACAAAACAACTTAAAGAGCCGGGGCATGGTGCAAATCTGTAATCCCAGCTACGTGGATGCAGAGATTGGAGAATTGTAACTTCCAGGGCATCCACAGGGAAATTTAGCAAAAGCCTATCTCAAGTTTTAAAAAATGAAAAACGGGCTCAGTGCCCCGTATGCAGGAGACCCTGGGTTCAATCTCCAGTACCTAAAAAAAAAAAAAAAAAAAAAAAAGCTAAAAGAAATTTACTCTCACCCAACCCTTGAGGTAATGGGAAATAGGTACAATTTTATGTTAGGGTATTTTTTAGGGCCCAACTATAGCATTAAGTACCTGTGTGTCTCCGTTTTGTTTTGTTTGTCATCTGAAAAAAAAAAGTGTGGGGGGCAATAATCTCCTAAAAGCCCACATTTTGTTACATCTAAACAGGAGCTCGTAGTTTCTTTCCATTGAAAAAAGATGTTTATGGCCTTTACAGTTCATTAAATGTTAAGACCAGCTCTCATTTAATTTTGTATCCCTTTGAGGTTGGCAAGGTAGGTCAGTGGCAGAGAAAGCAAGACACCCTGGGTTTGATCCCCAGCACTGCAAAACAAACAGAAGTTATTTTTTCATCCCTCACAGTCCTACMATATTACAGTATTCAAAAAGGGCCATCCAACTGATGCTTGTTGAATTTGAGTTTGAAAACAGTCCTATTCTTGATGACTAAAAACACTCCATTTAGCATTCAGCAGTCATTTGAACAAGTTCACAGTCTGGTGGCACTTTTCCTCTAAATTATGAAGATTTGAGTTCCAAGCTCAGTTCTGCCACCTGGGAATGAGTAACCTTTGACAAATCATTTACCTCTTTGAAGCCAGTTTCTTTATTTGTAAAATGTGGATGTAATAGTACTTATAAATATAGAGGTAGGAGACTAACTAAATAATTGTGCAAAATACACTATCTGGAATATAGAGCAGAGCATATATAAAGATACCAGTTTGAAAAATGGGAGAAAAAGTCTCAGAGAAGACTGAATTGCAGACAGCTGCTAACAATCATTGTCTTGATGCCAATCCCAGGCACATTGTATTCTATGCCTTTTGTACACTTCCTGGCTCAGGGTAAATCATTGAATGGATGGATAAAATAAGGGAGAAATTGGCCCCCAAATAAGTTTTGGGGCATTCCCTTCTTTAGACTGACAGTGCTTGGYTGCCTACCACACACCCAGAAGTGGGCACTAAGGTTTGAAATTGCTGCTTTGATGGTTTCTCACAGTCCCTATTGTCCTTTCTTATCTTTGCTTTTTAAATTTAGCTCTCTTTGAYCTCCACTGTGGTGAAATCAATGCYATATAGTCATCCTCATAGAGAGACTTGGGTGGGTAATTTAGTGGTTAAGAGTTCAGGCATTTCCACTAGACAGGCTCTGCCATTTATGTGATCTTGGGTAAATGACTTATCTCCTCTGAGTTTTTAGTTTCTTATGCATAAAATGAGAAGCAATAATACCAATATCACAGAGCTAATGAGTACTTGAGATGCATAGAGACCTAGCAAAGARTGGTATGAAATAAGTGCTCAAGCAATGTAAACCATTATTGCTTATTATATTTGATTGCTATGATGTAAAAATCAGTTCATAGGGTGTGGTGAAGTCTTTGGAKCATTCAGAAAAGGTAAGAGCTGTAGAAAAATGACTTAACCGTCAAAATGGAGACAGAAGAATGAGAGTAGGTTATTTCTGGCTTACACTAAACCAGAGTCCAACTCAACAGGCAGGCAACTCAAASATTTGCTGATAGTACCATCACTTCATAGAGCTATCCAGAGTATTTAGAAATACACTGTCCTGTTACAGAGTAAATAATCAGTAGATGATAGTTGATAATCATTGTTCATATTTCAAAGTACTTGCTTCCTAGAAATATCCTTCTAATTCAACTTCCATTTCTAAGGCTAGAAGGAACTGACTAGATCTTTCACAAAAGATCTAGTGATGAGCCTGCTGTGGTGGCACCCAACTATAATCCCAGAGACTCAGGAGGCTGAGGCAGGAGGATCATAAATTCAAGGCCAGCCTGGGCAACTTAGAGARGTCCTCAGTAACTTAGACCCTGTCTCAAAATAAAAAATAAAAAGGGCTGGGGGTGTAGCTCAGTGTTAAGTTGCCCCTGGGTTCAATCCCCAGTACCATACATGCAAAAAATAAATAAATAAAAATTTTGGGGGCTGGGGATGTGGCTCAGGTGGTAGCGCACTYGCCTAGCATGTGTGAGGCACTGGGTTCGATTCTCAGCACCACATAAAAATAAAAATAAAGGTATTGGGGCTGGGGTTGTGGCTCAGCATTAGAGCACTCACCTAGCACGTGTGAGACACTGGGTTYGATCCTCAGCACCACATACAAATAAATAAAATAAAAATATTTAAAAAAWWAA